GGAGTATCACTATTATGTCCTTCATTATAATATTTGTAACAGTTTTGCATGTCTATTATTATTTAGATTGAATTACCATACTTTTAATATATGAAATGCATGTCTGTGTAATGGTTGTAATTGTTTACTATCCAGAGATCTAATTTGACAACTATGGAGACAATGAGTGAGTATGAAAGCCAAAAGAGAATGCTGGAGGACCTACAATTACGTCTTACAGAAGCTGAGCAAAAAATTGTGGATGGGGAGAAGTTGCGGAAAAAACTACATAATACTATACTCGTAATGATTTATTCTCCTAAGACTTGTACTAATCCCATATAGTATGTTTGTTTATAAGATTAATGTGTTGCAGGAGCTTAAAGGAAATATTCGTGTTTTCTGCCGAGTCCGACCTTTATTGTCAAATGAATCTGGAGCTGTTTCTTATCCAAATAATGGAGAAAATATAGGTCGTGGTGTCGAGTTGATGCATAACAGTATGTTATATTTACTTTTATTGCTGAGTATATGTTTGTGTACGATACTTGCTAACTTCTGTAAACTAACTTTTTTTCATTTTTTATTCAGCACAATCATATTCATTTGCGTTTGACAAAGTGTTTGATCATTCGGCATCCCAGGAAGATGTGTTTACTGAAATTTCTCAGTTGGTTCAAAGTGCACTTGATGGCTATAAGGTACTTTTAGTGGTGGTACAACTAACATTGTATTTTGAGAACTGAATAATAATAAATTCAATTAGGCAGAAAATTAAGAAAAAATAACTGTTCCAAAAGTACACTGTTAATCACTGTGCACTTCATCTAATTGTTTTAGCCGAGTACTTGTCTGTTTTTATTTCTTGTATTGAATAATTGAAAAAATAGTTTTTGTTTTCAAATTAGGAACTTATCATGGAACTAACTGATCTCAAATCATGTAGGTATGCATATTTGCTTATGGGCAAACTGGTTCCGGCAAGACACATACTATGATGGGAAATCCTGAGTTCAATGATCAGAAAGGGTTAATACCTAGATCGCTTGAACAAATTTTTCAAACTAGTCAATGTCTTATGTCACAAGGTTGGAAATATAAGATGCAGGTGTGTTCCAATTGATTTGTTGATTTTCTTGAACTGAAGACTTATCATGTATTATCTATCTATAATCCTAATTGAGCCTATTTTTTGTAGGCTTCAATGTTAGAAATATACAATGAGACCATACGTGACTTGTTAGCGACAAGTCGCACATCTATCCAAGATGGTGCTGCTTCAAAATATAATATCAAACATGATGCAAATGGTAATACCCAGGTGTCTGACCTCACAATCGTTGATGTACGGAGTATCAACGAAGTTTCTTCTCTGCTCAAACGGGCTGCACAAAGCAGGTTGACTTGAAGTTCTTTTGAGATTCAGTGAAACTACCATTAATCATTTTTTTATTTAACAATGATAAGTTACGATAGCACAAGCAAATTTGTATAGCGGATGCAAGTTCTAAGTAAGTTAAAAGCAGTATTTCCTTGATTTGAACTAAAACTTTTCTAAACATACATTTTGTACTCTTGTAATCAATGCTTAGTACCATGTTTTTTGTCATGCTACTCAGACTAACTCTCCAAAAGAGTGTTCAAGTTGGTTGCAATGTCTCAATTTTTTTGGTACTTGCATGTATATGTGCTGAATCAACTAGTATTTGTTTTTTCATTCTTGTTTGCAGATCAGTAGGAAAAACACAAATGAATGAAGAATCATCTAGAAGTCACTGTGTTTTCACACTACGGATTTTTGGTGTAAATGAGGTATATAATCTTTTACTGATAAGTTCAATTCATGCATAACCTTTTCTCAATGTTTGCGTTATTATATTCTGTGCAGGGAACAGATCAACAAGTGCAAGGTGTTCTCAATTTAATTGATCTTGCAGGCAGTGAACGGCTTAACAAAAGTGGTGCCACTGGGGATAGACTCAAGGAAACCCAGGTAGTTTGCTATGCCTTTGTTTTGTGAAGTGTACATTTGTAACATCAATAGCACATGTATGGTATTAACTTCAACTCTTTAGGCTATTAACAAGAGCTTGTCATGCTTGAGTGATGTTATCTTCTCCATTGCTAAGAAAGAGGAACACATTCCATTCAGGAACTCCAAACTGACGTATTTACTCCAGGTAATTTCATAGTACCAAAAGTAGGGTGTGCAGTCTCAATATAATGTAGTGCCATTTTACAACCTACAACTGTTTTCCATGTACACAGCCATGCTTGGGCGGAGACTCTAAGACGCTAATGTTCGTGAATTTGTCCCCGGAAGTGTCTTCTACAAGCGAGTCTATTTGTTCGCTTCGTTTTGCTGCTCGGGTGAACTCTTGTGAGATCGGCGTCCCTCGTCGCCAGACTCAAATGCGCAGCTTGTCACAAGGATGAGTCTATGCAGTCAATTCACTGTCAAGTCCCATCCCACCCATGGGCCATCATTAATGTACGTGTGTTGTTTGTTTGTTGATAATTGAGGGATGCAATCCATCATTTGCACCGCATTTAGAGGTTGTATATTCTCATTTGCTTTGTTGTTTGTTCTTGATGATTATATTAACAGTCAGGTGTGCCGCGCTGACCTATCCATTTCAGTTATCTAATCTGTATCGGCTTTGATACTCTACTCTAGCGTAGAGTGATGGTACTAGTAGTAGTTGAGCTCTGTAGGTGTATTGGCATTCAGCCTTTTATTTTATTCTAAAAGCAAGCATTCAGCTTTGTTTGGTGTTGTTATGGCTTGGCTTGTATTAACTCTGACAATTGTTCATTCAAGACTAGAATCGTCGCATTTCTCAGTATCACCAAATGCACATTACATCACGCACTGAGGCTATCCTGGATAGAGCTTGAGGCAGAATTTTCAGTTCATGAAAGAACTGTTTGTCCTGGCTACTGGCTAGGCCATTCTTGTCATGACTTCCTGCAGTATGAGCTTTGTGTCAGCATAGCAGGATCCTATGTCAGCGTCATCCTTGGTGGTGACGGCCGCCTGCAACTTCTCGAAGCTGTCGAAGAGGCGGTTGGCTAGGTCGAGAAGCGGCGGCCTGGCGTCGGGGTCTGCGGCGGTGATGAGCTTGTCGAAGTCGTAGTATATGAAGGTGGCCTTGAGGCGGAGGTACTTGTTGACATAGTTGGAGGCTTCTTTGCCGAGCAGGTCCTCCAGCGCCAGCAGGTCGAAGGCGGAGCTGCGCACCCGGTAGGCATGCGCCGCGAAGCTCGGCCCGATGTCTGCCATGTAGATGCCGTTCTTCACAAAGGATCGCGTCCCCGTCTCGCCATTGTTGATCTCCTCTGCACCACATTCATCAGCGCCGGTTTCAGTTCAGCAGTTGAAGCCTCTCTAGGAATGAAATGCATCATGAGGATGAGGTGATATAGGGTAGAGTGGCGGTAGTACTGTTGCGGATCTTGGGCACTGGCAGGGGGAACTCGGTGAGCCACCAGCCGTTGTTGGCCGGCTCCGGGTCCTCATCGGCGTCAGCGTTGGCGCGGGCGGGCGCTGTGTGTAGCACAGCGGCGGTGGCAAGGCCGAGGCCTAGACTGAGGCAAGCTGATCGCCGGCCCGACGGCTCGGAGGCGTGGCATGTCACCACTCTTGGCCTCGGCCTCGGTGACGCGCCGCCGCTACGGACGATGACCTGGAAGCTTGAGAGGTAGGTGTTTGCCATGTGCGCCGTGGGACTGGATAGCGCTGGCGGCAGATGGAAGATGACTGGTCTGAGAAAGAGCTCTGAAATTATTATCTTTTCCTTTTGGTGAAATTGATGAAATTGCTTTGCATTATATTTTGTGTTTTTGGTTGATTTGTGTTGGGCGCACTGGAGGGGACCTTGTCAAATTGTGTCGATGTGCCTACTCCACAGTCGGCCATTCTTCCCTTTCTTCTCTTATGAAGGAAATACAACATTTTTTCTTTTTTTTTTCTCAAAAAGAAGCACACCCATTTTCTCCATGGGTTCGTTTTTTTTAATAAAAAAATCCATGTACTCTGAAAAAGGAAAAAGGTAGTAGTTGAGTACTTCATGGCAGTAGGACAAAGTGGAATACGTAGCGAGAGAATGGCCCTGCCGTGAACACAAGTTTTCACCTCATTTAGTGCTGTGCTTGTTCCAAAGGAGACGGATGGATGGATGACGGATCATGGAGGGGGGTGGTTCCTTGAGAGGAGCACCGAGCACCCAGCCACCCACCCTGCGCTGCAGCCAGCAGAGGTCAACGATAGCCAAGGCACCACCTGCGACCGATCTGCCTGGGCAGCTCCACTGTTTCACCCTGGGTAAAATCTGGACCGTTCTCTTGTTCGATCGGGCGGTGTCCCTTGTCTGAGCTGACCGAGCTCTCCAGGACATAGAGCAGAGGACCTCACCTGCTGCTATTTACTGCCTACACACACGAACGCACACGCTTCGCCAGTGCCTAGTGGAACAGAGACCATAGTACACTCCCCTACAGTGCCAGCCACCGGAGAGAGGGAGAGGGAGAAGCAGCCATGCGGTGGTGCTACGTGGGGAAGGCGACCAAGATCTTCTTGGTGGTCGTGGCTGCGCTCGCCGTCGTCGGTCTCATCGTTGCCGTCGGCGCCGTCATCCACCGCGCCAAGTCCCATCGCAACTCCGGCGCCGCCTGCGCCACCGCCACCGGCGGGTGTCAGCCAGTCCCGCCCGGGACCGTTAGCCAACAGCCATCCATGCCTTCCACCGCGGTCACCGCTCCGCCGCCGCCGCCAAATCCCACCTTTCCTGCGCCGGAAACCCCCTTGCCGCCGCCTCAGCCCCCTCTGCAACCGCCGACAGCACCAATTGCGTCGCCCTCGCCGGCCACATTTGCGTCCCCGCCGCCTCCGGACGTGCTGGTGCCGCCTCCACCAGCAATCGCGCCACCGGCGCCGGAATTGGCGTCACAGCCGCCTCCGACTGCGCTGGTGCCATCGCCACCAGCAATTGCGCCACCGGCGCCGGAAATTGCGTCACAGCCGCCTCCGGCTGCGTTGGTGCCGCCGCCGGCATTCGCGTCACAGCCGCCTCCGGTCGCGCTGGTGCCGCCACCGCCGGCCCCGGATGCGCCGAGTCCGACGTCGTCCTGACGCATGTCGCTGATTCTTGACTATTGATGACTCGATCTCAGAGCAGATTCAGGTTTTAGCGCACTGATTAAGGTTCAGGACATGGAATTAGTCTGCTGTCTTTTCTTTTCAATTGCCGGATTAAATCCTTATCACCCCCCTATCGCACATCGAGATTTCACCGATTCAAGTCGCATCTTTGTAATTCTAATTCTTGTTTACTTTGCTGACAGTCTCGTGCTCCTTCATGCAAATCATTTAAAGCAAAATAGTATTAGAATGTCATTTCTTGATGGAATCGGTGCTCTTATGGGTGCCAATTGAATTGACCACCCTGAGTTGGTCATCGAGACAAGGACTAGTCTATGACTCACGTTGACCATCTCTGATGTTGATGTTGCGCATCACTGTTAGAAATCATTGCAAAACAAGAGAACGGACAGATTTGCCACAGGAGAAAGTTAGCGCATTCAACAAACATCTGACATCCTTCTCTACTCTACTGTCTCGCTGTCCAACAAAAGAAAAGAAAAATACTTGGATTTGTTTAGATAACGATAAACGTGTCTAGATACATTCATATATTTAGATAAATCTAAGATACTTCCTCCCTTCGGAAATACTTGTCATCAAACTAGATAAAAAAGATGTATGTAGATGTCTTTTAGTTCTAGATACATCTCTTTTTATCCATTTTGATGACAAATATTTTCGGACGGAGGGAGTAAGCCACTACTCCCTCCGCCTCAAAATGTAAGACGTTTTAAATGTAAGACATTAGCTAGCAAAAACATCTTACATTATGAAACGGAGGGAGTAAAATATTAAGGTATTGCCCATTTGCACTGCAGTTGTTTTGCGATGTGCGCATAGCTTCATTGGACCCTGCCAGGTTCTTTTTATCCAGAGGCCTGCATCTGACTCCCTTCACCTTGCACTAAGAACAAATAAGCAGCCAGCGCACACATGTTAGGAATGAATCATTTCTCCTCGGCCCTTTGTAATAAGGAGAAAAAAGTACACCATCAGATACATTGTCTCTTTTCTAATGGTTTGTTTGTTTGTTTGTTTATTTGTTCAAATGGTTCTTTTGCATAGCTGCACTCACACGCTCCCATGTTTGACATGTAGGGCGTGTTTGGTTGACTGCATGAGGCCCAACTAGTCCCGTGCGGAAAGAAAACAACCTGTTTGGTTGGCTGCATACACGCCCTGCATGGTACGATGTTTAAAGCACTCCTGGGCCTGGCTCCCTGGAAACGCTCGAATCGGCACTTTTTCCGGAGCCAGGCCCGAGCGGTGCACGTGGGCGGCCATGCTCGAGAAGCCGCCTTGCTTCCCGAAGCACCGATAGTTATTAGCCTCACCGCCCCTCACTGCTCCCTCTCCCCATCCCCCCCCCCCCACTCTCCCAACTCTCACCGACGGTGGCAGATCGAAGGAGAGCAAGAAGACCACCATACTCCATCACCGGCGAGCGGATCATCACCTGGCCCGCGGTAATGGCGGTAAGCACTTTTTTGTTCGTCATGCACTACTTTTTCGCGTTCGATCCGGCGGTAGATTCGATCCACGACGGAGAGGGGGGATGGGGAATAGAGGTAGATAAGCATGTCAGTTCATACTAGTTCATACTAGTTCATATGAGTTCATACTAGTTCATGCAAGATCGGAATAGAGGTAGATGCGGATGGAGTAGAAGGGGGATTGGGGGTACACAACAGACACTGGCTAACCGCGGCGGCCGTCACCGGCGTGCGGAGCGGCGGGTCGAGTGGCTGGCCTTCATCTTCTTGTCCATCGTTGTGCAAGGCGGTGGGTCGTCGTCTCTCTCGGAGGAGTCGAGGTCGATCTGCCAAGTACGACGACCTGGCTCCAGCGCCTTCACTGGCATATGCACTGGTTCTTCCTCCTCCTTAGCCTCCCCACCGATGACCGTTGGCGGCACGATTGCCGTCTCCCAATACACTGCGGCACGGCGGTCTATAGGAGCCCAGTAGTTCTTGTACTTGGACCACCTCTTCCTCTGTTTAGCGTCGTCGGAGACAGCCTGATTCATGGCCCAACGAATGATGTCGACTGCCATTGCGCCCTTCGCTGGGTTAAGAATCTGCATCTTCAACTCTTGTGCAGTGGCCCTCATGAGCACTGCATCAGATTCCTTCTGCATGTCAGGCATGGAGCCGAAGTTCGAGAAAGAAGGCCCTCCAGCCAATACCCCAAGGGAAGGGGTTGGCGTTGGAGCTGGAGCTCATGGCGATGGAGAGGAGGAAGGTTGATAGTGAGAGAAGAGAGGAGGTGGGTAAGTAGTGGTGGTCAGTGTGAGTAAATATAGGCGCGATGGAGAGGAGGAAGAGTGACAGTCATGCCGTTTTAACTACATCCTCTTCAATAAGCCATGAACTCTGTGTTGTGCCTGACCCCATAAATTGTGTGCAGATCGAGGAGAGCAATGAGATGAGCACAGAGGTGCTCCCGGCCATTGACAACAAGAGCAAGGAGTCGGTTCATCCAATGCCCGAGGTGGTGCTGCTACCTACCGCCGAGGAAGAACCGAAGACGCCAACGGTTAGCGACGACGAGTGCATGGAGGAGCCCCCCAGCAGCAAGCGCCGCAACTACGGTCACTACCATGAGGAGGGTGGCCCAACTCACTTATGCAAGTTCATCCTTGCACCGAAGCTTGAGTGCATCCCCATGCCCCTAGACTTCACCAAGCACTTCGTCGCGGTGCCGGCGGAGTTCAAGCTGAGGAACAACACTGGCTGCTCCTGCAGGGTGACGGTGAAGCTAATGAACGGCAGGGTGACCCTGGATCAGGGTTGGGCCACCTACGCCGCCGTTCATCAGATCAAGACCGGCTACATGGTGACGTTCAAGCTCCTGACTCCCGACACCCTTAAGGTCGTCATCTTCGACGACGATGGCATTGAGGTGGTCAACAAGTGCGGGAAGCACGACGAAGCCTTCGCCGCCAGGGACTAGGGCCACGGCACCTCCTTCCTAAGTACTACCGAGTCTGCTTTATGGTTTATGCGTTGAACTATTTGAACTATCATTATAATGTGTGGTACTATCGTTATGTTATCTGAACCATGTTGTTAACTAGTTGATGCTCTATTTATGCTCTGCTCTACTTATGATGTGTGGTACATGGTTGAGCCAAAGTGTGCTGCTAACCTCACCAACTAGCCAAAGAGGTTACCACACACCAGGCGCTGCATACAACCAAACACCATGCCTTGGGTTTGTCCACTAACATGCAAGCAACCGAACACCATGCAGTGTGGTTCAGCCCGTGCAGGCAAGAGGGCATGCAAGCAACCAAACAACTTGCAGATGGTGCATTTGAGGCTGCATTTGCATAGCCAAGCTGAGTTAAGAAGGCTATGCAATGCAGCTATTGTAGACTACGACAACCAAACACGCCCGTACAAACACTAGCTGCCGGTGGGCCGACCAAACTTTGGGCCAGCCACATCCCGCTCATTCGTTTGTAATGCAGCAATTGTTAGATTTGGTATCCATCATCCTCATCCACATCTCGTTTTTTTCTCCATGAAGACATCCGTCAGATCTACTTTCTGTTGGAAATATGAGCAATTT